GGCTGTGTACATCTGAGGCAAGGATTTTTCCTCTACCTGCAGTACATCTTACGTATGAAGGAGGGCGGGCTAATGTTCGCGGGCCCTCCCTGCAGCTCGTTTGTTTGGGTGTCCAGGGCATCCACACACCGCTCCAAGGCTTTTCCTATGGGGGACCCCTCGAAGCCTTGCACGAAGACTGGAAACCTTGTGGCGGTTCGTTGGGTGCTTGGGGCTGTAATCGCCATTGTGCGGCGTTGCCAATGGGCATGTGAACAACCCGGAAGCTCCCTGCTACCATACGTCGATGCAGTTCGCTTCCTCATGCAGATTAATATCTTCGGCCTGGGGTTCCCGCCAGCACATATCGTGCGCTTGTACCTCTAGCTGTATTAATAATTACAGCGTGCATGGGTGTGCTGTCATGTACTTTGAAAGCTTTCCCCTAGCGGGTTACTTATAATATTCGAACCGAGCTGGATGGGCAACTATGGCGCAAGATCAATGAAGCGAACGATGGTCTTTGGAAATACGAGACTTGCTTACACCGCTAGCGCATTTCGGTAGTTCACTGCAATCAGACCCATGCCCACCTGGAGCAAACCAGCTGAGTGCGAATTTAAGGACCTGGCTGCAGCAGCTTGCTGAAGCCCAGACGCTGGATCCTGCGAAGAGGAGGGGTGGCTGGTCTTCGACGGGTGTTGTGACTCGAAAGAGGCGACAGGATGGAACGATGGCTGTGCCACTCAGCTCTAGATATTCCTGCGGTGTCACTAGCTTGCAGATCATCGAATAAGCGAACTATCCCAGGACGGGGGGGCCGCGACTCACCAGCACCGAAAGCTATCCTGCCAGATTCTGCCGAAGGATCATGCACTTCCACAAGTGCATGAGCACAGTGGCTTGTCATATGTTTGTCGCCCTGGGTTCTGGATGCTGCCACATGATTAGCATAATACTCACCCAGGATATCGGATATGTTCCAACTGTGCCCTCGGTTGAAGACTTCCAGCTGGCCCCTGTCCAGGTGGCCAATCTGCAAACAGATTCATTTTACAGACATAATAACCCAAATGTAAAACCTAAACGATCCCCAGATAGATCTAATTAATCGTGATGCAACCCCGGCAATTCTTAAGAACTTCGTCATGGGCCAAATATTATACAGAGCCTCCAGACTGCGACCTCAAACTTTTAAATATCCCCAGCAATGCACGAACAGGTCGATGAATCCCTCTGGTCCCCTGCCGACCTCGTGCCTCGCTTCAAATTTAATATTATAGTATATAGCAATAATAATGGAATCGAGCAAATCTGAGGAACCGGTGGTTGAGTTTCTCAAACAAGAGATACGCAATCGCTCCTGGTCCCCACGGTTTCCACTGCCGCTCACGTGCCAGCCTGCTGAGTATATGTGATCGGGGCGAGTGCCAGGGCTGCTAGGGTGCTGCTGGGATTCAGAATATAAT